TGTGAACTGGCCTTTGGCCTTGCTCTTGTGCTCGGATTGTGTGGTGACTTTGTGATCCACCCTGAGCTTTGCTTTGTCTTGCTTGACTGGTCTTGTGACCCCTTGTTCTCCCCCACTTTGCCTATGGGGGTGTGTCAGAACATATCTATAGCTTATACTGCTGTGTAGGCTGTAGTGGGGTATCCCATAGGGGGTACAACCCAGTTAGGGTTTCATATTTGTACTGCTTTCATTCATAGTTCATTCATTCCTGTTTTCCTATTCTCACAAGTTGCAAGCGACCCACGATTAAACGGCGTTCAACGTACTGCCCCGACATTTACGGAGGAGTCGGTACAGGCCGCCGGGACACACGGGAAGAAACTGCCCGACGGCTAAGCGGGGGTCGAGAAACGGCGTGAAGGGCAGGTTAAAAGCCGGTGTGAACGGCCTGTGACCTTCCGTCGCCCGAACCTCACCATCCCCACCAAGTTTTAGTTCTGACTCATGCAGTCAACTTACTTGGCCGAATAACGGGGGTGAACACGGGCCTACCCTGTGCTGGTTAAAGGCACCTGGATTGGTGCTCGTTCAACAGCTGTACGGAAAAAACAAAAAAAGGTGGAGTTGCGGCACTGTTCTACTCCGACAAAAGCGAGCTGGGTGAAACAGCACGCGAAAAAATCGGGGCGCCGCATGACAACAACGGTGCAGTTCGCTGGTTTCTCCTGACCCGGGCGTCTACACGAGGTGACGACGCAGCGGCAAAGCAGGGACCGGGAGCTGTGGAGTTTTCGTGGCGCGACGGTTGCGGTGGGCTGCAAAACGGTTGGGCGACCGTTCCTTTTAATTAAGGGTCCCCGACTCCGATAGTTTTTGCCCCTCCACCGTGGCCGAGGTTCGCGCGGGCAACAACGACTATACCCCATCCGAAAAATGCGGACGCTGGGTGAACGGCGGGAAGCGGAATTATCAGGGGGTGAAACGACCAAAAAAATATGAAGCTGCGGGTATTTCTTCGCTTCTTGGAGTGCGGTTGAGTCGTTGGGGGACTTCGCCTGAAGGGCACTTTTCGAAGTTGCCTGGCAAGAAACACAGCGGCAAGGATGCCTAGGACCCCCGGTGTTTAAACGCACACCTCGGGAAATTCTTCAGAAAAAAGGGAGCGTGGGAGCAGTCGTAGCTTCGGGAACTTATCGACCGGCGACGAGCGATGCGGTGAAACATCTGCAAAGCGCTGGTGGGAGAAACGTGGGGTTTTGTTAAACAGCATCGGCGGGAGCAGTTTCGACTACGGAGTCAACGGCGTTGATGCCTCTAGGTTCCGTGAAATTCGGTCTCGGAATAACCCATGGCAGTCCCCGGTTCTCGATTGTACCCAAATGCTGGGGTCGGGTAGCCGACGGAAACTGATGGTGACCGAGTGGGCGGCTATAGCACGTCCGAGGTTTTCGGAGGCGAACTGCAACTGCAACTGCGGATTTACGGGGTATGATTCGAGCGACAATTTTCGGAGGAGCATTCGGCGTTCGGTTAAACGCGCGCAACAATTACGTGGGGCAACACCGCGAGAACTACACGGAGTTTTCAGGGGTACGAACGACTTACGACGAAATGAAGAAGGCGACATCAACAGTGGAAGGGGGGAGAGACAGCTGTAATTTTTCATATCTGCCCAGGAGTCATCGGCGGATTACGACAAAGGGTTCGGCGAGTCTGGACAAACCCGCCGGAGGTGGTGACGTCATTCGACACGGATACAACATTCGGCAACTTCGACCAGAGTGATTTTTGACAAAATTAGAAGAAAGAAAGAGGAGTGAACTAGCAGAAATGGGGATACAAATAGCAAACCCTAGAAGGGTTGTACTCGCTATAGAGCACCCCACTACAGGCTAGAGCATAAGATAACATTCTGACAATTTTCGGTACGGTTACTACTTTGACGACCTTCGCCATCTCTCGTTATCACGTTCGCTGCCAATCGCCTTCGATCGCTGACTTCGACGACACTCGTAACATTCCCGATTTTACGGCCAGAGGATTTCGGGATACTACCGCTCCAACTCTACTAGCGACAAACCCGTCCACCCGACCAGCCCACGACAACTGCATTTATTTCTGACCACGTCAGGTGCTGCCAGCTGCAACTGCTGAAGATACTGCAGGATTCTGGCACGTGAAGACAACACAGGTTCAGTTCGAGTATTCGATACATGAATTTCGGTTTCCGGGCTACATCTGATGGTTCGCCCTTGGGCACTTTGCACCTGGTCTTGTCATCGAGTTTCGACACCGACGCAATCTCATCTGGTTTAACACTCGTTTCATTGGGACTTCACACCTGGTTTTGGTGGTTTTCTTCTCAGCGCAGCAGTGACATTTTCTGGTGTGTTTTCTTGGAGGGGGGGAGAAAGTGCTCGGCACTGTTTCTTTCCTCGGCGTTTTCTCGGCTTTCCTCTTGACCTTTGTCAGGTTGCGTCAGCACGACGGACGATCGCGATCACACCGACACGATCAACGGTCCCTGCTCAATCGCGTTTGAATTCGCGTCAGCAGGTTCCTGTCAAACATTATATATGTTATGCTTGTGTAGGCTACAGTGGGTTAGCCTATAAGGGGTACACAATTTTAGGGTTTCCTACTTGTACTCATTTCACTTCTAGTTCATCCATTCCTGTTCTCTTATCTTTCACAGTTCCCTCTCTTTTCGCGTCAGTCTTCGACCGTCAGATCTACACCTGCTCGATCTACGGCCCACATTCCAACTTCAACTTCATATTGGGCCAGTTCATCTTCAACCGTCAGATTGAAATTAGACTTCATCAACGGCCTACATTTCAACCTTTTCAAAATTATTGTCAAAGGCACTTCGGCCGTCAGATTCAGCTGAAGGGAAGATCTACGGCATCCTCGCTAGTGTGGGGTCTGTTTCAGTACAGGGCTGCCTTATTTAGAAGGTGGGAGAGTGTAAGGATTTACAAATCCTTACTGAGGCACTCGTTAGCGAGGCCATCCCGAGGGTCACGCGACGAACCTGACCTTCCTATTTCGTCGCACCGAACCACTCCCGAGTCGGCCTCCGCTCCAATCGCAACCATCACCGAGCCATCCTCACCCAACCTCCCCGCCTAACCAGCTTTTCCCTTATTTAGGCCTCGGCATTCTCATTTTATTGTCATTCAGTACTCAATCATTCTCGTTATTCGTTTTACTGCGCACTCTGCAAGTTCATTCATAACACTTAGGGCGTGTGAGGTCTTTGTAGAAGTTCAAAATAAAGTTAGAACTTTGGGTGGTTACCCTATTCGCTAATTTCGCGAAGGGTGCTTCGCGAACCAAGCATTGTATGGGCTTTGCAAAAGTTCGAGTTTGAAATATGAACTTGAATCGAGTCGGAGGCATGAACGTGCGTGCGCACGTTCATGCGAGCGTGTGTGATTTGCAGCACGTCCGAACAGCTGGCGAAACGGGCGAGCGCTTCGCCAATGCATGAAGTTGCACAACGAAGACACCCCACAATTCGTGCACACAGTGGTAGCCACGTGTCCAGCATCGTGGCATGTTCGAGCACGATGTGGCAACGCGTCCCGCCCGTCTTGACGTCAGTCAAAGAAACTCCCGCCCTTGGCCAATCCACGTCCCCCGCACCAAATGTCTTTGAAATCCTACAGGAGTGGAAGGCACTTGATACATTCAAATATACCACCCTTCTCCAACACTTGTATACTATATACGCAAATTCCATTCGACATGACAAACGGCAACACTAGCGCCCATGGCTCTGCCACATCGGCAGATGCTACCACTCCAACAGCCTCTATTCCCGCATCTGTCGCTGCACCGGTCCGCGCACCCGCACCTCAGCGGCGTCGGCGTGCTGCCGTTGATCCGGCCGCTTCGTGGCGCCTTGGAGTTATCGACCTGGACGATATCGTGGCGCGTGTCCCAAACGGGAACACTCCTCTAGGTGCAGACGACGACACCCTCACGTACTTCGACGCAGGCGAAATCGACTGCCATGGCGAAGACGGCGCCGACGACGATGCCGATGCAGCGACGCCCATCGACAAAAAAGGGTGGGAGCCGGCGGAAGTCATGCAGCTGGCGTGGATCCGCCACGACTTCGACGAGCAATATCGGAATTTGTGCCGCCTGCAAGGTCAGAACCGGGACGTCATGCTCTACGAGCAAGTCCGTCTTCGTCACCCCGGATGGCACCATGGTCTCGCAGCCACGAAAGCCAAGGTTTTCCGTATGGAGGCTCAGTGGCGGAAGGTGTTGGATTTATTGCTAAAACCTTCCGGGAAGGGGAAGCCCCCTAAAATGCCTATTTTCTATGACATTTTTGACAGGTTCCTAGGGGATCGGGCGAATGCGCGTCCCCCGGCGCTCGCGGGCCCCTTGCTTCCCGCAACTACTACCGCGCCTCCTCCTCCGGCTCGTACCATTCCTAGTAAGTGTTGATTGCTGTTTGATTTGATCCTTATTTTTTACTGCTCATAATTTAAGATTGATGATACTAATACAACCATTCAATAACATGGCATGTAATAATGAAACCACCCAACACCCCCCTATGTGACGCCCATCACCGGCAGATGTGGCGTCTCCTACCACCGCATCAGCGGTGTCTGCAGGGCCCGATGGCGTAGCGGCATCAGCAAGCCGAGCGCAGTCGGCTCTTCGCTCACCCAATCCCCGCCGAGTGACGGCTTCGCCTGGTCACTCCCCTTCGCGCCAGCCATTTTCGTCTCCGTCTACGTCTGCGCTTGCGCCGGACGTGTCCCCCGCCGCTGCCACCGCCACTGCATCTCCATCCCGTTCACACGTCGTCGGCGCGAACGCGGGTGTTGCGCTCCATGGCCGCGGTGTCTCCCGCCGGCCTGGGCCTGCGGCTGCCGAAGAGGAACATTCGGGCAACGACACAATGGGTGGTGGTGTTGGTAACAACATGAACTCAAGTGATTTAGTGCTGTGTGCTGAAATAGCGGGGATAATTGCGCAATCGGTAAAAGGGGTTATGCGGGACCAATTTGATGAGTTTTTAGAACGTACCCAAGAGATGGTTGAGAGAGCTCAAGATGCCCGAGCCTCCAGGAAGCGTAGAAGTACGCCGCCAGGCGAGATCGACGACGAGTCGGAGTAAAGCCCGCATCGCGCGGCGAGAAATGCGGGGCCTCCGCAACGGGTCCTTCCAGCCACCAAGTGTAGCGCTCACGAGGTTCGTTCAGGCGGTGACGAAAGCCGAGGATGAGGTCGATGTTGTGAAGCACGATGCAGATGGATACGACCTGCGGGGCGCGGATGACGTCGCACTCGAGGCGCCCGTCCAGGATGCGCCATTTGGTCTTCAGCCTCTCGTTCACCTGCTCCACGATCATTCGAGTGCGGGACTGCTGGAGGTTCCAGACTCGCTGATGGTCGGGAAGTGCGAGACCGGAAAGGGCACGATAGGGTGTGTAGATGTAGGGCCTCAATCCATAGGCAGCGTCCGCTACTAGCGTGTAGTCAAGTATCCCTCCTTCTTCAATTTTAGTTCTTGCAGGGCTGTTCATGAAAACCCGAGCGTCGTTGACGCTTCCGGGATATCCTACAAAAAAGTCCCAGATGAGACCCATGCTGTCGCAGATTAGTTGGCAAATAATCGAAAAGAAACCTTTCCTATTTCTGAAGTCTTCGCAATGTGGTCCCATGCCACGGCACTGTATGTAGGTCCCGTCCATGGCACCTACCACCCCTGGTATTCCGGCTTGAAGGCGAAACTCTGTCTCGAACAACTGCATCATGTCCATGTCTGGCCACACGACCCACTTGGGCAAGAGGACTTCGTTGACGAAAAAAGCGAACCTCGCAAACAGCTTGTGGGCGTGGGAGAAAGAGTAGCTGAAGTGAAGCCCAATTTCGCGAAATGTGAGACCATGCCCAAGCCTGCTAAGTCCCATGGCGACGAATACAAAGTTATGCACAGGATGCTTAAGTGTAGCGAAACGGCTGCGCTGATACTGGCGCACTAAGTACACGAAAACGCGTTTGTCAACCCGTAAATACTCATAGAAAGTGTACTCGGGCAGGGATGTTATCAGTCGAAACCAACGCACACGTGCGTCAAGGCGGTCGCCAAGCACGAACACCCGGGTCTGCCTGAGAGTGAAGGCCGAGACGAGCGTGGGGAGTGCCGTGCCAACAGCGTTGAGAACGGGAAGCATCACCATCTGCAAGTACCCCTGCCATACGATGCCGAGAAAGCGGACCAGCTGTAGGGTTGTCATGTTGGGCGAAGGACGAGTATACAAGGTGTTGCCACGGGGGCTATTTGTACCCTGGTTACACACTCGGCGCGGAAGGTGAGTTGGAGCTCTAGGTCCTTGTAAACCGAGGCGCAAAATGTTGACGTGGCACACTGTCAAGACTCTCGAACCGGGTAAACTATGATGTTGATGTGCGGCTCGGCTCGTTTTTACAAGTTCGAATGTCGGAGTTCGACCTTGTATGTGTGTGTGATTTTTTACAGTGTGGTAAGCCCGATGTTCGAACTTCGATAGAACGAAATTCGAACTTCTTACGTTGTAAGTTCGAAACTAAAATTCGCCCTAAAAACATAAGCTTTTACAAATTTCAAAGACCTCACACGCCCTTAGCTTCAGTTCGACTTGTCTTTGAAACCCAACTCTCCCCCCAAACCAATCTTCTCCCCTCCTCACCTCACCACTTCATTGTCCCCTCCAATTTAGGGAGAGAAAGGTCAGATTAGACAAACTCGAAGTACGAACTTGGCCTCAACTCAAACAACCCAGCAGCATCCCTTCCTTACTGTCTCATGTTTCTCTCACTCCACCCACGCCATTCCACCATGCCATGACGTCCCTGAATCGTAGCCTAATGAATAGTTACTGAAAATGCACGATTTACATTAACTTGACTTCCAAATGTTGAAGGTACACTAGCGTAGGTTAGGGTTTGCTTTCATCCACGACTGAGTCTACCATTTTACTACTCTTAAGTTATGGCGGATAATAGAGACGACGAATTACGCCTTTCCCTTGGCAGCGGTAGGATGAGTGCTGAAACAACATGGCAATATCCATTTTCGCCTATTGATCCAACGACATGGATATAGATCTCAACCGGTCATCGTTTTCACCCAACAGGATAGCATTGCCAAATGGAGGCACGCAGGCCGACTCTGTCACTCTCCACCTTTACCCTGAGGGGTCATCAGAGGAACGGCCTATTCACCGTCGCCCTTCGGACCCAAGCATTGCCACAATTCATCCTACCATTGGTTCAGTAGCTCCAAAACAGCGTTCCCATAAGCAGGTTCCCCTCTGGTTCGCACCTCCTCCGAGTAGTCGAAAGCGTAAGGTGCAGAAGACAACGGAAGTTGCATCATCTCATCCCGAGAATGTGTCACAAAACCATCGAGCACCCCAAGACGCTTCGACTCCACAAGACGTAGGACAGACAGATCCGAGCACAACAGAGAAAGTGCAGCCCAACTCCTCTGGTCCGCAGAACGTGCAAGCTGAAGCTCCCATTGCTAGTAAGGAGATGGAACTGAAATCCAAGTTCAGCCATAGGTGGACCCAAGACTTTACGTGGCTCAGTTTGGAGTACAACTCGGAGGCACAACAGTTCGGAATGAAATGTAGTGTCTGTTCTAAATGGGGAGCTGATAAGGGGAACTCTCCGTTTGGTCGACCCGGTGTTGGCGCGCGGGACTTCCAGATTTCATGTGTTAGAGGACACCACAACAGCAATGGGCACAAGTTGGCGGTGTAGAAGCAAGATGCGGAAGAGAAGAAGGCAGCCAACGCTCTCAAGTGGCGCGAGTATCAGAAATCTGAACCGCGTGTTCGACGGGTTATTAGGGTGATGAAGGTCTGCTACTTTCTTGCACAACATGACGTCCCTATCTCCATGTACCCTGTGTTTGCGCGGTGGCTAGCGGATGAGGGCATGGAAGACATGCCTAAGGGGGAGATGTATGCACGCTACTTTTCAATGTAAGCAACTGCTGGATGCTCTTAAGCTCTTGGTATGCTGACTGATATGCAGATTTCATCTTTGGCTGTTTTGATTGCAAACTATGTATTTGGTGGTTATGCAGATGGGCTGCTGGGGAGTTTTTGCACGCAATCTCAACACATCTCCATGACGTGCAGCATGCACACATCCAGGCCAGCCCATGTTATGGGCTCTCTCTTGATGAATCGACCGATCGTGCCCACGGAAAGCATTTGATTGTTTATTGCACCTTCGAGCAAGATCTGAGGGTAGCGACGGAGTTCCTTGCGCATCTTTCGCTGGAAAAGTGTGATGCAGCTTCAATCTTTGCAGTTCTATCATCCTACCTGGATGCAAAGGGCTTTGACATGCAGAAGCTTGTCGGAATCAGCACGGACGGTGCGAGCATGATGGTTGGAGACAAGCAAGGACTTGTAAGGCGGTTTCGAGAGAGATGCCCGTGGCTGTTCTCCGCCCACTGCATTGCTCACAGGTTCGACCAAGTGATACATTGTTGTCATACACCTTGTTTAGCACATGGCCTTGGCTTGCGGATAATCATTGCACAATCTGTTTTATACTCTCTGAGTTGTGTACTACCGTATTACAGGGAAGCACTTGCTGCCAAAGATGCAGCCACCGCATTTCCAGATCTGGGAGTTGTTGACAAAGTCATTCGCAAAACAGCAGAGGATCTGGGTCGTTCGAATATTCGACATCAACAGTTTATGGATCTGCAATCGGTCATCCGATCCACTGACTTGGAGGTGCTCGGGATTGTAACCATACGGTGGCTCGCCAGAGGGGAAGCAGTGGCTCGGTTCTACTATGGATGTGGAAGCAGGGCAACGCAAAGCTTTTCAAGACAGTCAGCTCTTTCAAGTTCCTTTTCATGCTCTATTTGCTGTGTGATGTGGTGGAGGTGCTCAACAATTTGAATCTGAAGTTTCAACAGCGCGAGGTACGTATATCGAGAAGAAATGCATATCAAGGCGGCTGGTGAGTGTGGGCTTCAAGGTGCGTGGCAGGTTAGTGGTGCGGCTGCAAGGGGTGTGGCCAGTGAGTGCAAGGCTGAGTGGAGCACAACACCAATCTACGTTTACGGATAAGCACACTAGGTGCATCAGACTTAGTCACGTTAATCTAAGCTACGTGCCTTAAAAATTCATAACCCCCATACAACAGATTGATGTCACTCGAGTCGCTCAGGATGTCGACGAAGCGTGCACACTGCTGAATCAGCGCTACATCGAACATGCAAAGGGTTTTGGTGATGGGCAAAAGGGACGACTGACATCCTTTTTGCGAGAGCACAGCGACCCCAAAAAGCGCAGCATGGTGGTTCATGGGGTTGACAACGAAGGTAACCGTTGCACCACCGAGATTCTGTTGCATGGTGAAGGAATTGGTGGTGTGTATGGGACAGACATCGAGTCTTGCTACGCCTTGGGTAAGGCGTTTGCTGAGAAATTGGTGAGCTCGCTGACAACAAGACTCGGAGACCTCGAGAAACTAGAGGGCGCCAAGCTGTTCAGGCCCTTGACGTATCCCGATCAGAGCACGGGTCTTCGTGACGCAACATTCAACGCTCATTTGGACAAGCTTTTCGACCTCTTTGATAACAAGCTGACAGGTACGACAATCTGCCAAGTTTGTTAATGAGTATTTTTTTTACCCTAAAATCATCCCAATCAAACTTCAAAGTCCTCCTTTCTTTTTTTTTTTCTAAACCACCAACAAACAGGAATCAGCAAAGTTGTGTGTGATGGTGAGATCTCCATGCTAACAGCAACCTTGTCTAAGCATCATCGCAACGAGGGGTTCAACCAATGCCTGCACAACGTTCTCAGCAACAACGCATGGACCACCAATTATCCCCAGCTTGTGCATCTGTGGAGGGCTGTTTCAGTGCTTCCCTTAAGCACAGTGGAGTGAGAACGTGAGTTTTCACGCCAAAATGTCATCAAAAGCTGGGACAGGACTTGCCTAAACGACGTGAGGCTCGCCGAGTTAATGGCTGTGAAAATGATAAATTATAATGTGGACTGGAGTGTTGTTCACAAGGTGTGGGATGATGCGAAGTCCAGGCGTCCCTGCAGGTTGGTGGCGGACGATAGGTAAGTGGTAGAGGTTTTATTATCTTCAGGATGATACTTATGCAACTAGATGTCATGCATTGTTTTAAGGACATTTTTAAGTACTTGTACTTGTGCTAGGTTGCGCTCATGTTTCTTTATGTCAGGACTGAAAAAGAGAAAAATATTATGTGACTCTGATTGAGCCGAGCTTTTTTTTAGATAGCCCTGAATATTAAGGGAAGATGTTGGGTACACCCTGGGTTTTAAGAGCAACTTTGAAGGGGTTGGCATTTCGTCCGACCTGTAAAAAATCCTAGCATAAGTCCTGCTCTAGAGGCAGATTCTTTTTGTCGGCAGGATGAAGCTATGCCTGTAAAACACTTTGTGACGAGAATTATTCGTGATGTGTAAGGAATTTTCTCGGCATTCCTTACGGAGCCCGACTACATCGCGTACAGCAAAAGTTGTTGTTCACCCGTTACTGTTAACGGGACTTCGCCAACTTCGCGCGCATTGTTTTGCCAAACCTCGCACTGCTGGCCCGGCCGTGTCGGCCTACGCTTCGGGACTAGCGCGAGCCTCGCTGCCAACATAGCACCAGGGCTGACGATATCAGAGTAATTACCCTGATTTCAGGATGATTACAGGCTTCTGACTTGGTGGTCCCTACAAACTCAGGTTTTGTATTTTGTGAACTCTGATCCAATCAGAGAAGCTACTTAACGGACTCTGAATTCTTGTAACTAGGCTCGGAGTAGTGTACTTGCGGACTCTGACTATGCAGGGTATGCGTTCCGTGGACCCTGAATGCGATGGTATCAGGACGAATTTTCCTAGAAGCTTCGTTTCGATAACCCCCTTGTCCGTAATCAGTTCTTCGAGTGGCCCCATGTTAGGTACCCCCTTCACGCGCCCGTGAGTGACGTAATACCAATAAAGGAAAAGACTGACGTGCTGTACATCATAGCTGGCAACAGCGGCAACACAGCCAAATCAATGATACGGTGCTGCCACGCGCACCGCACAGTGCACAGCATGTGTCTGCCATTGCCCAGAATGGCCTGTTGATAGCATGCGGTGGCAGCCAAGGAGTCCGTGAATGAATTCAGCCTTGAATGCAATGACGAAGTCATCGTCGAATGTTGCCATCAAGTCCGTGGAATCGCGGCGCGGTGGTTTCGTGCTCC